TTTTTGATTGTTTTATACTTCAAACTAACTCCTTTTTGTAATATTTATTGGTTAAATCTGAAACTTACTCCTTTTTGTAATATTCATTTTTTATATCTGAAACTTACTCCTTTTTGTGCAAATTTCAATTGTTTTATTTATTGCTCAGCTATAAAAATGCTGCCTAGTTATAAAAATATTACACAGTTATGATTGGTGCGGTAGTTTCCGAGATCCAAGTTTCAGATGTTACATCGCAAGCTCCATTATAATAAGATTGTGAACAAATAAAATATTATTTGTGGTAATGGCTATAAAAAAAAGCAGCTATTTGTTAAAGTAATAAAATTAAAACTAAGTGTATGTAAACAGCTTTAGCTGAAGTTTTGGAAATCCACACATACTTTATGTACAGTGTCAGATTATGAAATAAATTTATAATCAGTTACTATTATTTTTCTGAGTTAATCACACACAAAGAAACACAACTATAAAAAGTAAAAGCAATAAGTAAATAATTCACAAAATAGCACAGATTATTTTTGTTTATTTCCAATATAAAAATGATTTATTCCAAATTTACTAATAAATTAATCATCATTTCAACTTTTGCCTTAATCAACATGTATGGTCTACACACGTAGAAACTCAAGACCAACCGACAGTAATAGAAAGCAATGAATCTTATAACAATAGTCAACCTTGATCTCTGTTTAAATGGATCAGTAAACTTCAAGAATGGATTGTTTGCTATTGTAACTGCAGGTAACAGTTTTATAATAGTAACTACAATTGCCAGTCTTGGATCAGTAGACTTCAAGAATGGATTGTTTGCTATTGTAACTGCAGGTAACAGTTTTATAATAGTAACTACAATTGCCGACCTTGGATCAGTAAACTTCAAGAATGGATTGTTTGCTATTGTAACTGCAGGTAACAGTTTTATAATAGTAACTACAATTGCCAGTCTTGGATCAGTAGACTTCAAGAATGGATTGTTTGCTATTTTTAACTGCAGGCAACAGTTTTATAATAGTAACTACAATTGCCAACCTTGGATCAGTAGACTTCAAGAATGGATTGTTTGCTATTTTTAACTGCAGGCAACAGTTTTATAATAGTAACTATAATTACCAACCTTGGATCAGTAAACTTCAAGAATGGATTGTTTGCTATTTTTAACTGCAGGCAACAGTTTTATAATATTAGTACCTACAATTGCCAACATCGGTTTCTGTTTAATTGAAGTATTTCCTTTTATAAGAAGTGTTAGTTATTTTTAGTATTGTTACTGGTTCTTCATTTATGTCTTATTAGTGCTTGGATAATTCATAGAACTGTATGATATGCTCTATAATGTGGATGTCTTGGTGTGTAGTCTTACCTGTATAGAAATATACATTTAATACACAACTTTATAAACCAGGTTTTAATTGTATCTATATGGGCTTGATCATTTAGACAAACCTTGCAACCATCATGTAAGCATGAAACTACATACTACAACTTTTAATGTAGTTAGTTCATCTTCACAAAATTCGGTATCCTTTAGTACATGTCATAAGTATTCTGTACATAACAAAATTAGATTTTCTAAGTATTTTTACCAAAGAGAGATTTGTAAATATATATAGAGTGAGTCAGACTGACTAGTCTTGTTAAGGTTAAATTATTTTTTTCCTTTTAGTTTTCATATTTCATTTACATAACCTCAAGAACCTCCTAAATGAAAAACAAACTCTTATTTTATCTTTTTTCTCTACCCTAACACTATAAAGGGTAGGCCCATTTTTCTGATCTTGTAACCACTACAAAAAATTCTTTGAAATCTAAATTAACCGTTTTTCTTTCAGAAAATTATAGTTATTTATTTTGAGGTTCATAACAGTTTACATTTGTTTATATTTATTTGTTTTATAGTTATTTGAACCATGTATTTCTACTAAATCTGCATAACAAGCTCCTGGTAAACAAATATTTCAAGTTATGGTAAAACAAAGTATTGAATTAGCTAATGCACGTGCACTTTGCATACTTCACTGAAAAATTTCATAGTTTTTTTCATCTATGTTTTCTACTCCACTTAATAAATTTGATTTTTCCTTTTATAACATTAAAAAAAGAATATATGTGAAAAACAAGAAATTTAGTACTTATATGTACTTTTTTTCAGTTGAAGGTTCAATCTTGAAAAAATGTTAACCCCAATTTTTGATGGGTTTATTGTTAGTACTTCACTGAATGTTTCCTTATTTAAAATATTGAATTAATAACACACACACACACACACAAAGAATACGTTGTCATATAACTATTATAATTTAACTTGCTTTTTAACTAAGCTATAAGTGTTATAATATTTCCCCAACTTGGTCAAGATGAACTAGGTGATACCAACTCAGAATCTGTAAGCTGAATAATTCAAAAGCTGTTGTCAGAATGAGCTTGCTTATTACATAATTCAGTAAATGAAAATCTACTCTTTCTGTTGGTTGCAAATAATCTATTAGAAAATCTTAGAGAGAATGACTGACATTTTGTTGAAAGACAGTGTGTGATAGAAGGATGTGGCTTAAGGATTTTTGACTCTGATTTATATCTCTACAACAAGATGATTAGAGTCTGTAAAACTAGATCATCTCAGTAATATCTCTACTATTAGTTTGTAATATAAAAAAAAGGTTGTGATATGGACAATTTTTATCTTAGCTACCTACATCCAGAGGGATAACAAAGTACCTTGTTTGATAGCAGGACAAATGATATTTGAGGAGGAAACAGATGATGTTAGGTAATCTTTTAATGTCTTACCTGAATGTTGAACAATCTTTATTTCCAGATGTAGACCTACTGGTGACATTTTGAGAATTATTACAATTATGTTCTCAGTGAAATTCATTAATTGAATGGTTATTATTATTGTTCTTGACTACTTGTATAATATTTTCGAAGTTGTATTTTGTTAGTAAATAATCAAACCACTTGATATAGTATTATAAAATGGTAGCAACCAAGGCCTGTAACCAAGCAAGGGAAATGCTTTGAAATTCAAGAAATAGATAGTATACTTTCAAGAGGTGATTGGTTTGTAGAAAAATAGTTATTATTTGGGATGGTGTTAGAAACGTCACACGTACACAGTGTAAAAATTAAATTTATAGTTTATTTAGCACTAATGATTAAAGTTATGCAAATTCTAATGTGACACAATCTAGAAACAGTTTCTTCAGCTTATTGAGCATTAACACTCTTGCCACAGTTTAATTGGCTGAGTTCATGACTCCGAATTGAACGTTATAGTTTCCATATTGTGACTTCTGATATGTTTTGTGTATCTTTAAAAACTTTGTAAGCTTTCAATAAATATTAATTCACTTGAATGAAAAGAATATTAGAATTTTTAATGAAGTATTTTCACTAAAAATTTCTCTGTGAATATATGGACTCAAAGTGATTTTCATGTTAAGATTGAAAATATTTTTATTCATGTGGAAATTGTCAGATTTCATTTGCATAATCTCTAAAACCTCCTAAATATATTTAAAGTTTTTGTATTTAGTAGAAGTTTATATTTTATCTGTTATTTTCTCTTCCCTAGCTCTATATGAGGTGTGTCATTTTGACTGATCTCATAATCACCATAAAAATATGAAATACTTCTAAGTTGCTCTTTTTTTCTCTCTCTAGATTGACTTCAAATTGTAATAATATTCATCTGTTTGTACTTAAATTTTGTTGTTTTATTGCCCTTTGACTCTAACTAATAATTCTGCCACACAAGTTGTAAATCACTTGGCAAATGTGTAGCTCACATTACCTTATTGAATTATAAAAGGCACAGGCTAGTTGAGAGTTACTTGCAAGCATACCTCATGAAAATGTATTATTATTATTACGCTTTATTTTACCTAATCTAAACTTATCTAACTTTTAAAAAGTTTCAAATTTTTACATTTTAGATACTTTTATATTAATAAAGAATAGACATCAAAAACTAGAAATATATTACATACCTGGGTCTTTTTTTGCTGTTGACTGTTGGTGAAACGTAACCCTACTTTTTAGCACTAATGGTAATACAACACTAAATATATTTTTATTTAAAGGAATAATGTAACTAAAAACACAGAATAACAACAGGTAAAAAGCAGACAATGTCCTATAACTATCATAATTTTTCTAGCTTTCTACTATGCGATAAGAGCCTTTAAAAATTCAGCTAAGCTTGTTGATGTGTTTCCAGCAGGAATATAGTTTGGACTGGAAGTGAAATAAAGAATTCTCTGTACAGAAAACAATGTACTATAATATGTCCTTTGATAGATTAAAACTTTGACTTTCTATTGGTTATTAACAATATAGTATTAAACATCAGAGACAACTATTGACAATTTGTGAAAGAGAGGATGTGGCAGGTGGACATGGCAAGAGAGGTCTGATTTTCTTGTTTAAGGCTCTGTAACCAAATAAGATTGAAGGCTATAAAATTTATGCTTTGTCTGAATAATAACAATATTATAATGAGTAATTTACCATAAAACCTGTACTTCTTTAAGGTTTAGTAAATAAATTAGAGAAGAGATCTAGAGAGCAAATATCACAATTCTCATACTTGGGGAAATTGAGGATGTTTTTTAAATATTATCATTAGATTATTAGCTACATTTTGATGCCAAGTATATTTGTATACCATAATAATAAAGTAGTTTAATTAAATGTTGAATGTAACTCAGTAAAACCGTGTGACATGCTCAGAAAAGGGTACCCATATGGAGTGAGTGAAAGAATACAGTTATCCAATTATAAACATAATGTAAAAAAAAACAGTAAATTTACACTTCATTTAACACTAAACTAGCCCAAGAGTTGATGGTGGGTGCTGCTAGCCGTTTGTCTTCCTTCTAGTCTGCAGCTCCAAATTAAGGACGGTGGTAGATGGCCTTAGTAGCTTTGCCATAACTCAAAAATAAAGAAACAAATACAACATACCTGTGGCTAAAGGAGCAAGTTTGGTGGCAGTGTGTGTGTGAATCAAACTCAAAACCCTTGAACCATGAGGCAACCCTCTCTCCCCTAATTATAAGCAGACTTGAATTAATAAAAATATAAAGTTTGTAACATTAAAAACCGGGTTTCATTTACCAATGATTAGAGCACAGATAGTCCATTCTGTAGCTTTATACTGAACAGCAAACTAAGATAATGGCAATATTTTGATTACTAGATAGTTGGAATAATCAGAAACAATAGTAATTGAAAACTTTTATGACATTAATTGATTTAATTATAATTTCAAGTAATTGATTATTTTATGTTACTCTGATCCATACATATAAGTAATTGAGTTAATCATCCTGTTGTAGGTCACTTTATGATGCTATAACATGTGGTCTGAACAATTACTAGTGAAGCTCAGCTTTGAAAATAGCTAGAGCCAATGGCTAAATGTGATTATTGTATATATAACATATATACAATAGAATAGAGTAAATAATGTTGTTTGAGAGTAATTTGTGGAGTTTCAAGATATTGGCTACACAGAGGCCCTGTTGCAGTGAACAGGAGATTTCATTGAGAAATTTGCAACACTTACGGACAAACCACAGATTTGGGAGTTTTTAAAATTTTCTCAAATGTTCTTTATATTCCTAAAAATCTTTTGCTAAGTTATATCTGTTTGTAAACTAAAGAAATTTTTTTCAGTGAGAAGACATCAGTAAGCTTAGTAAGTATTGTATTGTTGAAGTGAGTTTTAGGTGACACTCCATAGGATTGCGCAGACAGGTACTACCCCTTTGAGGAGGTCAACTGCCATGCATGTGGTAGGAGTGAGTGCTTTGAGTGATGTTACCAGTAATCTTCTGACTGAATACTGTTCTAGTGATTCCCTGTTTTTCTTTTCCTAGCTACACCATTTGGTACTTTATTTTCCAGCAGTCTCATTTCCTCTGAATGTCAGTGAAGACCTTCCATGTGTGTCAGAATTCCTTACTAGTATTTGTTAGTTTGTAAACTTTTTATCTTAGTTGGCAGTGTACTCATTTGGCATGTGAAAGGCTCCAGGAAATACAAAAACAGGTACACTACACTAATCTTCTGTGAGAACTGTGAAGTCTTTCCTTATGACTACTGTGGGAGTCTGTTATATACTCAATACTGATTTGTTTAGATTGTAAATTTTTTGAAGTGATGAGAGCTTCACTCATAGAGGTAGTCGCTGATTATGGCTAGATTGGGTCTCTACATTGGGTGTAGGAATTATTTGGGAAACATCTATCAGTGGATGTTGCAGAAGTTTTTATAAGCATGTCAGCTTATTATTCTAGAAAGATAATACTTTAAATATCAATGTCCTGGAATGGCCAACTTTTAACCTGAGAGGAAATTTTTGGGACCTCCTGAAAGTCTGAATTGAATAACCCAGATGACAACTTTTCAGACTTCATCAGCTCTACAAGCTGTTGAAATAATGAATCAGAACCTAGTGAAGAGTGAACCTTGTAGAATGACAGCAGACCTTTAAGCTGTAAAAAGATGGTATAAAGTATTAGGACAGTGATTACCATGTTTGGCAAAGCTGTGTATATGTAATTTTAAAGTAAGTGTATTACTAAGTTATTGATTTTTCATCTTTTTGTTTTTGTAGCTTCAAAAACATTCTGAGGAAAATATATCTTTAAGTGTTCCTTCTGGTCTACCTGTTGGACCTAATAGTGAAGATGTTTCACAAAGTAAGTTGTAGTTTTGAAGTGATTAAATAACAAATGTGTAAATCCACTAATTCCACCTATTTTGTATTTAGAAATAAGTATAATATTTTATCTTTAAAGCATGTAAATTGCAAATAAAATAAGTATAATATTTTATCTTTTTTCAACTTTCTTATACTATTTCTTTTCTTTTTTTTTACATTTAAAATAAAACATCAGCCTAATTGTCAAGTTGAATTTTTAAACAAACTGTAACTCTTCCTGTAGAATTAAAATTTGTATTCTTTTTTTAACCATAACACAACTGGCTAGCAACATTCACACCTGTGTATCATATTCTAACAATTTTTAACCATAAATTTTAGAATTGATATATTGTCACCTATTTTGTGTAATTTGTAAATAAAATTTTTTTATAATATTCTAAGTTTTATACATTTTTATTTTTTTGCTCATGTTGAAGCATAAGTATAGATTTGCTAAAAAAACTATCATCCCTTGAGAATGTTTCTCTTATGATTTTTCTTCTCTGTTTGAGTTTTTACTATTAAAAACTTCATACCCACCTTTTTATTATGTCACAGAGTGTGGTATGATTAATGGAACTCAGCTTTGGAGATAATTATAGGTAAAGTTTAAATAGCATTGGATAGAGTAGATTATAAACTACTTCTGTCAGTGTAGAATGAATAAAATTGTGTGAGCAGTAACTTATGGTTCTGTAGGAAAGGGACTAGATGGTGCTCTTATTGTAGAATGAATGAAGTTGTGTGAGCAGTAACTTATGGTTCCATGGGAATGTTATTATTGTAGAATGAATGAAGTTGTGTGAGCAGTAACTTATGGTTCCATGGGAATGTTATTATTGTAGAATAATGAAGTTGTATGAGCAGTAACTTATGGTTCCATGGGAATGTTATTATTGTAGAATGAATGAAGTTGTATGAGCAGTAACTTATGGTTCCATGGGAGTGTTATTATTGTAGAATGAATGAAGTTGTATGAGCAGTAACTTATGGTTCCATGGGAGTGTTATTATTGTAGAATGAATGAAGTTGTATGAGCAGTAACTTATGGTTCCATGGGAGTGTTGTTATTGTAGAATGAATGAAGTTGTATGAGCAGTAACTTATGGTTCCATGGGAGTGTTATTATTGTAGAATGAATAAAGTTGTATGAGCAGTAACTTATGGTTCCATGGGAATGTTATTATTGTAGAATGAATGAAGTTGTATGAGCAGTAACTTATGGTTCTGTAGGAAAGGGACTAGATGGTGCTCTTATTGTAGAATGAATGAAGTTGTGTGAGCAGTAACTTATGGTTCCATGGGAATGTTATTATTGTAGAATGAATGAAGTTGTATGAGCAGTAACTTATGGTTCCATGGAAATGTTATTATTGTAGAATGAATGAAGTTGTGTGAGCAGTAACTTATGGTTCTATGGGAGTGTTATTATTGTAGAATGAATAAAGTTGTATGAGCAGTAACTTATGGTTCCATGGGAATGTTATTATTGTAGAATGAATGAAGTAGTATGAGCAGTAACTTATGGTTCCATGGGAATGTTATTATTGTAGAATGAATGAAGTAGTATGAGCAGTAACTT